CAGTCGCTTCGCCATTTTGGCTATTTCAGGTGGCCGCTTTCTCGTTTGCCACCTTATGTTATAAAAAAAAACAATTAGGGAAATTGTCGGTGTTGCAATTCCTCTAAAAACTCACAATGGCAGATATTTTTGTCTTAAAAGCGACGTGGATAGATTTTATGGTATGATGGTATTTGATGTGAGGTCCTGTGAGGTCCTGTGAGGTCATATAACCTCAAACGTGTGGTTGTGCAAGCATGAAGCGAAGTTATTTTAAGCGGACATCGTACTACAGTATGATGGTAATTGGTTATGTGAGGTCATGTGAGGTCTTACAATAACCTTATAGGTGTGTTTTGATATTATCAAGTAGGATGTAAATGAAGTTAGGTTCATGTGAGGCAGTATGATGGGTTTTGGCAATGTGAGGTCATGTGAGGTCATACAAAAACCTCACACGTGAGATTTTGTGCGCACGAAAAGATGTTGAGTAAGGCAGATCGCGTAAAATATGGGAGTATTTGGTAATGTAAGGTCATGTGAGGTCTTTCAATAACATCACATATAGTGATGCAAGCATGAAGCGATTTAACCGACTTTAGGCAAGTCTCCTGAGATGGGGTCACATTATTTGGTCATGCGCGGTCATATAACCTCACACGTGTGTTTTAATATGACTATGTAGTACAGTACGCTAGTGACGTGTTCATGTGAGGTCAGGTGATGTTATACTATAAGGTATAAGATGGTACGAGCATGAAATAAGGTAATCGATTTTAGATAAGTCCCATGATATGGTATTGTATAGTCATGTGAGGTCATACACGAACATCATACGTGTTTTGATATGCATATAGACCTGTAAGCGATGTTAAGTTCCTGTGAGGTAGTACTATAGCATTTTATCGTGTGAGGTCGGTATTAGTTCATACAATAACCTTACATGAAGTTGTGAGCACATATGTAAGCAACGTTAAGTGTATTAAGACTGTATGGTGTTTAGTTATGAGGTTGGTAGGTGTGTGTGAGGTTGTGAAGTGTATGTAAGGTTGTGAGATGTATGTGAGGTTTCGAAGTGTTAAAAGGTTGTGAGGTGTTATGAGGTTGTAAGGTGTCATCAGGTTGTGAGGTTGTAACTGTTATGAGGTTGCAAGGTGTCATCAGTTTGTGAGGTTGTGAAGTGTTATGAGGTTATGAGGTTATGGGGTGGGAGGTGTGAGGCTCACTGCATATGCTCTATGAGGGAGTCCTTGTTAACGAAGCTCTTCCCGCACTGGTCGCAGCGCGGTCTGTCCGAAGAATGGTGGTTACGTATATGACTTTGGTGGGTTTTCTTGTTACTGGAATACATCAAAATTACTAATATTAAAAACTAGTTGTTACCCGCGACTTTGTGCGGATTAAAAAATATAGATTATGTGTTCTTACAGACTATATTCTACTGTGACAATTCAACGGGTTCAGTAGTATAAGTGGTACGTATATTTCTAACATCCATCTAAACTATGTATGGATGTATGTTACATCATAGAACAGCTGATTACATACCGATAATTAGTCACAGATGTACAACATAGTCTGGAAGAATACATAAACTATTTACTGAGATTTTTTTTTAAATTCCCCGCATTGTACTGATAAAAGTTCTAAATAGCGCCATCTATTGGCTGCGATTTGAAACTAAGATTTTAAAATATTCAATTTAAAACCAAATAAAAATGTAATTTTATATGTAACACTTTCTTATTTTAACACCGAAAAACATCGAAAAAAAGATTCAACAATGAAAAAAAATTACTGAGTAGGATTTGAACTCGGACTTTTTAATTTTTTTTTTAATTTCAGTTTACATAATTATAACATGTCCTATGGCACTCCGGGAAACACAAACTAAATGACATTTTTATTGAAATCTAGGTCTAAGTATTAACTTACTTGCTAACTTTACCGCACTGGCTGCACGTGTATTGCTTAACTATACCTTCATGTTGTGTGCTGAAAAAACAACGAACAATTATTTACAACCGATATTTGGTGTCGTATTTGTGTTAAATATACATAATTCTCTGTAGTTCTGTATTTCTCATTATTAATATTACTTTGAATAACACAAAAAAAGCAGTTTTTTTTAAATCTATAGTTCTATACTATTATAAAAAAGCGTAAACACACTTCTTTGTTGCCTAAGATGTCAGGAAATACAGCATATTTTTAAATAATTCTTTTTTCAATAAAAAGTCCTACACTAACGTCACGCTTTAGGCTATATATTTTCACGTCATTTAACTTAGGGGTGAATATTTTGTATAAAAACTGTAATGTGGGAAAGAGACCATAAGTTGCTGCCAACATCAAGGAAGCAGTCAAGTCAGTGGTAGTGTCCGCTTTAACATCTTAGCACTGCAGGGCTCGCCTCAGCAATACAGGCGTGAAGTGAAAGCAATTCCGCGTACACTGATGAGTGTGGTGCCGGAGGACTAATTTAAGTCCCTTTCTCTTTACCACCCTTTTGTTACAAAGAGAGGTTGGGAAGGGGAAGTGGATTTGACAATGAAGGAGATGCATAGGAAGGGGAAAT